TTACCCGCTGGCCTGGGCTATGGTTGCAGAAGCGAAAATTCTGGACTTAAGTATTTTTCACACCTGCAATGGTTTTTCCGCAGGTGCAGCAACGCAGAAGCGGATTCGCTGGGCAGATACGAGCAAATTCGATGGTTTTGATTGATAATCCATTTTTGGTCTTAGATAGCTCGGTGGGAGGCGATTTTTGGAGGGTTTTTCAGAGAGATCATTGGGGTAAGGAATCCTAACTCGATTTTGGTTAATTTACAAGAATCTATTGTTAATTTCATCTTTTAATTAGTGTTTTGGAGTTGAAAATTTGGGGAAAAATGGTAGAAACTTCTTAGACTAAATTTTTGAGTTTTGAAAGGCAAATAGGTCGGATTTGAGTAATTCTTGTATGGTTGAACTCGATATCGAGTGAGTGTTCGGATTTTATAATTTTGGTCGGGTTCCGAGGCGCGAGTCCTGGTTGACTTTTTAATTCTTCGCGAAGATCGTATTTCATTATTTGAATTAGTTTCCTATAGTTATGTATAGTATGAACTTATTTTGGCTAGATTCGAGCCGTTCGGAGTTGGATAATCGAGGGAAAGACCTTCTAGTTGATTGAGCTAGTGTGGCTTGAGGTAAGTGACTTGTCTAACCTTGTGTGGGAGAATTACCCCTTAAGATTGGTGTTGTTGTGATAACTGTGATGTGTGAAAGCCGTGTACGCAAGGTGACAAGTGTGTACATGGGCTAAATATGAAAATTTCTGATTTTAGCTATGTAGTTTTCCTTTCATGCCTTAACTGAGTTACCTTAACATGTTATAGTCATCATTTCTAGTCTATTCTCGCATGTCTACTTGTATTATCTCTTACTTGCTAATTGTCTTACATGTTTAGTTGAAGTTATTGTTTCTTTTATTCCGTATTCATTAATTAACTGCTGAACTCTTACTTGAAGTTGTTATTCTTGAATTATCTTGTAGTTGAAATTAGTATTGAGTTACAAAAGCCGTGATCCCTATTGAGGCAAATTGTTAAGTTGTGAAATATCATTCTATTGAGTTATTCTTCCGGTTGTTATTTGTTGAGATTTTTTTTGTACATTGTGGTTGAGCTGTGGGCTCCTTATTGTAAAATTATGTTGTTGTTTGGTTTCTCTGACAAGTTGTGATATTGGGCACTTAAGATACGATTTGTGATACATTGTGATATTGATACGCATGCGGTGGCATAAGATTTTGGGGTTGATACACATGCGGTGAGATAAGACGCGCTTGATACGCGTGGCTACTAGGGGAACTACTAGAAGCCATGCGGTGTGATACGATGAGCTAAAACGCGGGATGTTATTTCGGAAAAATAATTTTTAAAACTAAATGTTAAGGCTCCCGCGGTGATATAAGGAAAGATTATGAGTTATTTTTGTGATTGGGACTAGGAGGCGGTACCTCGGTAGTGACCCTCGTTGATCTTTCTCTATTTGTTGTACTTGTCTTTGGTTGTTTTGTTTCCTTAACATGTCAAATCCTTGTTTCCTTTCGTGATGTATTTATTTGCACTGATTCTGTGCAGTTAACTCTTGGTATACTCTTTACTTGTTTCATTTCCTTTGTCATTATTATTATATTGTTAAATCTTTCGTCCTGTTTCTTATTATTTCCGGTAGGGCCTTGACCTGACCTCGTCATTAATCTACCGAGGTTAGGCTTGGCACTTACTGGGTACCGTTGTGGTGTACTCATGCTACGCTTTTGCGCATCTTTTTGTACAGATCCATGTACATCCTACCAATCCAGGCATTAGTGATTTGAGTTCGAGCGTGGAGACTTCAAGGTATACCTACCAGCGTCCGCAGGCCTCAGAGTCCCCTTCTAACTTGATTTACTTATTTCATTACCCTATTATAGACAATTTAGTATAGGATTATTCAATACTATTACTTTGAGCTTGTGACATATATTTTACCGGGTTTTGGGAGTTGTACATGTTGAGTTGGAGATTTTATTTTATATAGTTGTGGAAGTTTTGAACCATTAAATTATTATTTCGGTTGTTTCGCGTGTTTGTTAGGCTAAGACTAGGTGCCGTCACAATATCCTACGGAGGAAAATTGAGGTCGTGACAGAAAAACTCATTTAACTCTCAAATCTGAATGATGCCACATAAATTGGGACGAAGAGAATATAAGATATCATATTCTATCAATTGGTTGAGAATTAGTCTACAACTGCAAATAATTACCTGGATTATAGACACAGGGTTTAGCTTGTTTAATTTTGGCCCCCAACAAACAAAAAGAGTTATCACTTCTGCTTTAGTTAATGTGGAACATAAAAAGAAAAATCTATTGTTGTATAATACTTTCGATGATACTCGAGTTTCAACTATGAAGATTTATCAAACATTTGTTATTTATGTCATTTTGATAAGAAGTTTGTAACGTTTAGTACTCATCTAGTTGACCGTTCAAAATTTGGTTAACAGTTAATCGATTTTTTACGAGATATATGAAAATTGATCCAATTAAAGTGTCTAATACTTTTTTTACGTAAAAGTACGTTTAATAAGCAATTAATAACCTTGTAATTTAACACAACAATAAAAAGACGCGACGCATATAATACCTTAGTACATTGTAGATCATATAGCATGGCAAATCTTATACATTCCAGTCATATTTTTTGGTATAAGAATAAGGATTATGAGGAGCAAAGAAAAATCCATCTTCTTGCACTCTCCAAAAACATTCATAATCATTCCCATTGCCATTTATTCTTCCACAACCTTGAGAAATTTGTTTGTTGAAAACATCAAAAAATTGTGTTTTAGCAGAACCGTAGTTACCCAACCAAAAGTGACAATAGAAACGAGTACTACCAAACACATTCAAATGGAAATCATCACCCACTTTAGGGGTTTTGATTCCAAAATCGTCGTCTTTAGATTGACATTGTAAATTTAAAGGAACGTCGTTAGTTTGGAGGGCGTCGAGAATGTGAACTGTATATCCATCAGTTAATGCAGAATTCACCGTTTGAACGAGAACAATTAATATGGCTAGTGAAAGTAATATTATTTTGGTCATGGTTGGACTCTTATATATTTGTTCTACTAAATCATGTATGTTTTTGCCCTAATATATAGTCTACATGTTCTACAGCAAGATTGTTGAGATGGAGATGTCTATTTAATGACTTTTGCTAAGTTAAAATGTAGATTAATACTGACTGGACTGCCAAAAAAATAAAGGATTTGTATATTCTTTCTTGATTAATGTTGTTCTTATCTGTATCTTCAATGTACCTTACCTACCCTGATTATTGTAATATAGTTGTCAAAAATAAAAGAAAATATCCAGTTAATACTTAATTAATGTTGTTCTTATCTGTATTTTTAATGTAGCTTATTTTAGTTACTAATTACATGATTAACATAATTACTGACTTTTTCCATTTTAAATGTTTTAATTTGACTATGGTGGTCAATTTGACTAACTTTAGTATAGGGAACATTTGACGGTCATAGTACCAAATAATTAAGTGCTAATTGAAAATCCTAATTACATGGTTACCGCCGTATTCAATTTTTTTAATTGAATTTTATTTATTTAAATAAAACACAAAATTTATATACTTGCGGAAAACAGATAATATTAGCTATCTGATTTTCAAATTTAGAAGCAGTATATAAATAATCTCAAATATGTTCGTTCCAAAAGTACCACGGCCATATTCTCAAAGGATTCCGTAATCGATCGAACTCACTAGCTTTAGTTCAAATCTAGTATATATTTAAAGAATTTTATTGTATAAGTATAAATTATTAATTTAAAATCAATAACTTCAAAGAATTAAAATTTAGAATCTATAATTTTACTCAGTAAATTTTAAGTGTAAAATCAAAATCTTATATCTATATGCTCCAAATCATGGATATTATCGCTGACGTACACCTATGTACACGTAAGTTTTGGGTGCTTACCTAGGAATAACTAAATAACTAACGATTGCAAACTGTGTGGCTTAGAAAGAGACGCATCATGTAGGTGTGGCATATTGCGAAATATGGCCAAGTATCTTTTATTCATCCAATTTACTAAGTGAAACAAATACGTAATTGTTATAAATATATTATGGATGTTCATTTAGTACTCCGTTGTAAATAAGCTTCCCGAAGAAGTTTATCCATATGGAACTCCGCCGTAAATATGTTTATCTATTTAGTACTCTATTGGAAATAAGCCTCCTGAAGAAGCTTATCACTTCGGTACTCGGTTATGGATAAACATTACCCGAGTAGAAGATTATCCATACCGGGTACAATAAGCTTATCCTTTTGATACTCCGTTATGGATAAACATTATCCCCGGTAGAAGATTATCCATACCGGGTACAATAAGCTTATCCTTTCGATACTCCGTTATGGATAAATATTGCCCCTGGTAGAAGATTATCCATACCTGGTACATAAGCTTATCCTTTCGGTACTCCGTTATGGATAAACATTACCCCCAGTTGAAGATTATCTATATCTGGTACAGTAGCAGCTTACACAGCAGCTTGCAGTAGCAGCTTACACAGCAGCTTGCAGTAGCAGCTTACACAGCAGCTTGCAGTAGCAGCTTACACAGCAGCTTCCTTTCTTCTATAAATAGAGGAGATTTTAGTTTATTATATATATAAGTTTGAAGTTGAATAATATATCAGGATCTCTTTATACTTGTCTTTACTTTATAGTCTTTATTTTATAACACTTTATCAGCACGAGACTCTTCCATCTCGAGCAAATACTTTGAAAGTATTAGAGGTACGAACTTTCTTTTTCTCAATAATGTCAAATCTCTCTAAACTTGAATTTGTAGACCTGGATATATCGGGCAAAAGCTACATGTCTTGGGTGCTTGATACTGAAATTCATCTTGCAATGGGTCTGGCAGACACCATCAAGGACAAAAATCATGCATCAAACTAAGACCGTGCCAAAGCAATGATATTCCTACGCCATCACCTTGATGAGGGCCTGAAAATGGAATATCTTACTGTTAAAGATCCAATCATACTGTGGAATAATTTGAAAGATAGATATGACCACCTGAAGATGGCCGTTCTTCCACAAGCACGTTATGATTGGGCTCATCTCTACAAGATTTTAAATCTATTAGTCAGTATAATTCTGCTATGTTCAGAATTATTTCCCAATTGAAATTATGTGGTGATAATATTACTGATCATGATATGTTGGAGAAAACTTTCACCACTTTACATGCTTCGAATATGCTCCTGCGGCAGCAATATCGAGAGATGGAATTCAAAAAGTATTCTGAACTTATTTCAAATCTTCTTATAGCCGAGAAACATAATGGGCTATTAGTGAAAAATCATGAAAGCCGACCTACTGGTTCTTGTCCATTCCCTGAAGTGAATGACACGAACTTCCACCAAGCTAAGCGCGGAAGAGGTCGTGGCCCCAGTCGTGGTCATGACCATGGCCGGGGAAGAAACTTTAATCATGGTAATAATAATGCACCAAAGAATCCTCCTCACCACCAGCAGTGGAAAAGGAAGGAACAAAAGCATGAAGCGGTGCAAGCACCAAATGCAGAAATGCATGCTATAGATGTGGATGAAAAGGGCACTGGTCACGTACTTGTCGCACGCCAAAGCACCTGGTTGAGCTTTATCAAGCCTCCTTAAAGAAGACAAAGAAAAATGTTGAAGCAAATTTTATTTCTGAAGATAATTTAGACTTCATGCATTTGGATGTAGCTGATTACTTTGCACTCCCAGAAGGAGAAATAAGTCATGTGATCGGTGGTGAATCTGTAGAAATGTAAATATTTTAATTTTTGTTATTTGTAATAGATAGTATGGTTATGTAATTGTTGTACATAAATAAAAGTTATGCTTTGATAATGATGTTTACTGTAATATATTTTATGTATATCGTTTTGAAAAATATGGATAACATTATTTGATCAACTTAAACTCCAGCAGAGTTTGCAAGAAATATACAACCACCAGAAGTGGTTATATTTCGTATATCTCATTGTAACTAAATTTTGTTAACCACCAGAAGTGGTATATGACTATGATCACCAAAAGTGATAATTTAGGCTTTCTATGGTTACAATTGAAGATAAGTTACATAAATATTCTCTATATTAAATGCACGTCTAGATTTGCTCCTGAAGTAGTAAATATTTTAAAAGAGGTTGAAGCACCACAATTTGATATGATTAATGCGCGTTTAGATAATTATGTTCGATTTCCTGAAGGATGAGAACTTTTGATAATATTAATCCATTCCCTGAAGTGAATGTGACAATATTAATAAATCTCGTAAATATGAACGCGCTCCTGATGTAAATATATTACAATTCACCTCCAGAAAAGGTAATATAATTGAGAGAATATATACCCAATATTTCGTATTTTAAATTTGCTCCTGAAGAAGTAACACAACTGAAATTGCCTCCTGAAGTAGGAAAATATTACGAAGAGGAGTTTTCTTGTGCTTAAACAATTGTTTTACATTGTTTATTTGATTGTGATTTTCTCTTATGATACCAGAAGTGTCTGAGCAATATTTGATAGTACAAAATGTATCAACAACTGTCACGACCCGGATTTTCCACCCTCGGGAGTCGTGATAGCGCCTACTAATGTGAGCTAGGCAAGCCGAATATTTAACAAATTACCTTTTTACCCATTTTATACTCTTTAACAATTAAAAACAATAATGTAAATACAGCGGAAAATTTTAAATAAGCGGAAGAGAAGCAATAGAATATCTGAACATGTATCCAAAACAATTGTTTGAGCCTCAACTACCCAGAACTGGTGTCACAGTTTCACAAACGATCTAAGAATACTACATACAAAGTCTGAAAAATAAACGATACACTATTTCTGAATTAAGGAAATGAAACAGGAATAAAGGGGGTAGAGGGAGACGCCAGGGTCTGCGGACGCCTGCAGGTCTACCTTGGATCTCCGCGTGGACTGAAGGTAGCCACTCAATCTACGGTCCAAAGTCAACAGTACTGAGATCTGCACAAAAGAGTGCATAGTGTAGTATCAGCACAACCGACCCCATGTGCTGGTAAGTGTCTAGCCTAACCTCGGCGAAGTAGTGACGATGCTAGGACCAGACTACCAAATAAACCTGTGCAGTTATATAATATACAGCGGAAAGTAAGGCAGAAATAAACAAGTAAAGATGGGGGGGGGGAAAGCATGCTTCGGAGAATAACAGGTAAAACAGAATATCAAGAGAATTATAAAGGAACCAAAATCCAACTACTAACAAAGATAAGGAAAACAAAGGCAGAATTCACTTTCATTTCACATCTTGTTGCAGGCGTGCAACCCGCTCCCATTTCACGTATCTCGTTGCAGGCGTGCAACTCGCTCCTATTTCATATATCTCTTTCATATATCTCGTGGAAGGCGTGCCACCCGCTCCCATTTCTTATATCTCGTGGCAGGCGTGCCACCTGCTCCCATTTCATTTATCTCGTGGCAGGCGTGCCACCCGCTCCCAATTACAATTCAACAACAACCACAAAGAATCCCGGCAAGGAAAAAAGAGCAATATAACAACATCCCGGCAAGGGAACAAGAGCAATATAACAACATCCCGGCAAGGGAACAAGAACAATATAACAACATCCCGGCAAGGGAACAATGATGATAGTAACATGTGAGGCACAATAAACCACGACGGAGTCATAACAATTATAATACAAGACTCACGGGCATGCTTGACACCGACGTATAGATACTCGTCACCATGCCTATACGTCGTACTCCACAATTAATACGTAGCAAATAAGACACGACTCCTAATCCCTACAGCTAAGGTTAGACCAAACACTTACCTCGATGCCACGAACACAATTCACGTTTCAATTATAGCTTTACCCCTTGATTCCACCACCAATCCGCACGTATCTAGTCACAAGTTACTTAATTACATCAATAAACGCTAAATGAATCAACCCCGATGCATGAAAATGAGTTTTCCAAAGTTTTACCCAAAAAGTCAAAAGTCGCCCCCGGGCCTACATGGTCAAAACCCGAGGTTCGAACCAAAACCCGATTACCCATTCCCCCACGAACCCAAATATATAATTTGTTTTGAAATCGGACCTCAAATCGAGGTCCAAATCCCCAATTTTTGAAAAACCTAGGTTCTACCCAAAACACCCAAATTCTCCCATGAAAATCATTGATTTTGAGTTGAAGTCATGTTAAAAGATGTTAATGATAGAAGGAAACGAGTTAAAATTGACTTACAATCGATTTGGAAGAAGAGTTGTTCTTGGAAAATCGCCCTAGGGAGTTTGTGTTTTGAAAAGATGTGAAAAATGGTTGAATTTCGGCTAAGTATAAAAGTTGCATGTCGCAGATATGGGAAATGCGAACAGGGGTTCGCAATTGCGAACCCCGACCTCTGCTATGCTGGGAATTGCGAAGTGGGTTGGGAAATGCGAACTAGGAAATGCGAACAAAGTGCCGCATTTGCGACAACAAGCTGAAGGGGGGGTATCGTATTTACGATGGAATCCTCGCAATTGCGAGGCTAGCTGACCTGGGCTTCTTTCGCATTTGCGATAAGCCTCTCGTATTTGCGATATCGCATTTGCGAGCCAGGCTTCCCAAATGCGAAGCCCGCAGGCCTGCAATGCAACAGCTAAAAACCTGCAATTTTCCAAGTCCAAAATCCACCCCGTGGCCTATCCAAAACTCACCCGAGCCCTCGGGGCTCCAAACCAAATATGCACACCAACCTAAAAACATCATATGGACTCGCTCGTACATTCAAATCACTAAAATAACATCAACAACTATGAATTTAGCATCAAAATCATGAAATTTTCTTAAGAACTTCAAATTTCCAATTTTCTCAAAAAACGATCCGATTCACGTCGTTTCAAGTCCGTTTCTTACCAAGTTTCACAGACTTATCTTAAATCACATATAAGACATTTACCGGATGCCGGAACCAAAATGCGAGCCCGATACCATCAAGTTCTAATCACAATTCATTTCCAAATCTCATAAATAATTTCAGAAAACAATTTTCTTTAAAAATTTATTTCTCGGGCTTGGGACCTCGGAATTCGATTCCGGCATACGCCCAAGTCCCATACTTTCCTACGGACCCTTCGGAACCGTCAGATCATGGGTCTGGGTCCGTTTACCTAAAATGTTGACCGAAGACAACTTAATTCATTTTAAACCCAAATTTAATCATTTTTCACAGATTTTCACATATAGACTTTCCGGCTACGCGCCCGGACTACGCACGCAAATCGAGGTGATGCTGAAAGAGGTTTTTAAGGCCTCGAAATGCAGAATTTAATTTAAAAACAAGTGATGACCTTTTGGGTCATCACATCCTCCACCTCTAAACCAACCGTTCGTCCTCGAACGGACAGAAGAAGGAAGTACCTGAGTCGGGGAAAAGATGGGGATAACGGCTCCGCATAAAGGACTCGGACTCCCAGGTTGATGCCTCAGCAGGCTGACCTCTCCACTGAACACGAACAGAAGGAAAACTCTTCGATCTCAACTGACGAACTTGCCGGTCTAGAATAGCTACCGGCTCCTCCTCATAAGACAAGTCCTTGTCCAACTGGACAGTGCTGAAATCTAACACGTGGGATGGATCGCCATGATACTTCCGAAGCATGGACACATGAAACACTGGATGCACGGTTGATAAGCTCGGCGGCAACGCAAGTCTATAATCCACCTCTCCCACTAGATCAAGAATCTCAAACGGGCCAATGAACCTAGGGCTAAGCATGCCCTTCTTCCCAAATCTCATCACGCCCTTCATAGGCGACACTCGAAGCAATACCCGCTCACCAACCATGAATGCCAAATCACGAACCTTACGGTCGGCATAGCTCTTTTGCCTGGACTGAGTTGTACGAAGCCTATCCTGAATAATCCTGACCTTGTCCAAGGCATCCCGAACCAGATACGTACCCAACAACCGAGCCTCTACCGGCTCAAACCATCCAACCGGCGACTGACAGCGCCTACCATACAAAGCCTCATAAGGAGCCATCGGGATACTCGAATGGTAGCTGTTGTTGTGGGCAAACTCTGCTAAAGGCTAAAACTGATCCCACGAGCCTCCGAAGTCAATGACACAAGCTCGGAGCATATCCTCCAAAATCTGAATAGTCTGCTCGGACTGCCCGTCCGTCTGAGGATGAAACGCTGTGCTCAACTCAACCCGTGTGCCCAACTCTCGCTGAACTGCTTTCCAGAAATGTGAGGTAAACTGCGTACCTCGATCCAAAATGATAGACACGGGCACACCATGAAGAAGAACGATCTCCCGGATGTAGATCTCAGCTAATCTCTCGGAAGAATAGGAAACTGCCACAGGAATGAAATGGGCTGACTTGGTCAGCCTATCAACAATGACCCACACTGCATCGAACTTCTTCTGAGTCCATGGGAGTCCAGTAACGAAGTCCATAGTAATACGCTCCCACTTCCACTCAGGGATCTCAATCTTCTGGAATAAACCACCAGGCCTCTGATGCTCGTATTTAACCTGCTGGCAATTCAAACACCGAGCCACATATGCAACGATATCCTTCTTCATTCTCCTCCACCACTAATGCTGCCGCAAATCCCGATACATCTTCGCGGCGCC